GTTTACGTAATTTAACAACTTTTTGCTTTTAATTCTCTCAATTAAATCAGCTATGAGTGCATAGGAGAAGCCAGAAAGGGGATTGAATCTGTGCAGCAAACTCAAATTTTTCTAATCACTATCTTTGCAACCTGATTTCTTTGCCTAAACCTTTTTCAGCTAAGTCAAGAAGATCATGAAATACACATTTCATAATTTAAGAAAAAAAAAATATGCCAAAAATTCTTTTGCTTGTTGGTTCTCGCCGAATTTAATGTTAAATTGGTAAATATTTTCAAATAAAAGTTAAGCTTAATTAGTTTAAAAATTAACTAAAAGATATCTCAAGTCAAGGATTAAGAATTTTTAAAGCTTTAGAATATATTCTGTATTGAGTACCCTTGAACATTCCAAAACTAAATTAATTTAAAAACCTCTTTGCACTTAACAAACAGACAAAATATTTACATTCTTTAGGTTTTTGAGAATAAAATAAAATAGAATAATAAAAAGAGGAGGCTATAAAAAACAGTGGTAAGACGAGAAAGCCTACAAATAATCAATCACAATTTACTATGCAGAGCCTGGACCCGCTTAACCAGGGTAGGTTGTTTTGAGTGATTGGCCCTAAGTTAGTTAATGATAATGAATAAAATTGGTTACACATATCAAATCAAATTTCTGGATAGGTTGGATGTTGATTGTGAGGTATGAAATTGTCAGGTAATCTGAGGCAGGGTGACTGAGATCAGAGAGATTACTGTAGAGATAAACTAAAATACAGGGTGTAAAGGATGGTGGATACACAAATACAAGTATATTAATAACGTTTAAGTTTTTGTTATAGTTTTCTATATAAAATCTACTCACATAATATACAACTAGATTTTTAGTTTCTTTAAGGTCAATTTCAATTGTATTCCACAATTTAGGAAACATTGCATAGATTTTGTTTAAATCCTGTTCTAAGAAACTGAGTTTTTACCACAAAGTCAAACATTCTCATGCCTATATCATTGCATTTGGATGGTGTAAACATTTTATATTTCAAATTTAGACACTTTGTTCTAACAGAATTCATAGTTTGAAATATCAAGGGTCTACAACATCGGGTTGCACAGATATAGAGATTCGAAAATCAGAGTTTGTGATAAAAACTCAGTTCCTTTATATGATTTTCTTCTATTCGGTTTCAGCCTGAGACTTAACCATATTTTGGAAGGAAGAGGGAAGGTTTAACGGAAGTATTTGAATTCAGTACAGATAATTGAACTTCTACTGTTGTAGGACAAATATTTTAACTATTTCTTGCCATTCATTAAATCCAAATTTAGAAAAGAGAGCAGAGAAGAAACCTACCCTCCAATGTGTCTGTGAGTCAAGTTTAAACTAAACGGAGAATAATGNAAAACTATTTTTATTTGTCTACCTGTAATAATAACAACCACATTACAGCAGTAGTTAATTGAATTAGATGTTATAATAAAGCAAATAGTTTAATAAGTATCTTATTAAGTCAATTAATAAGTCAAATTGGTCTTTTTACGCTGAACAATTGTGTTTCATTATCATTTGATTATTTAAGGTCCTAACTGGAGTCTAAAAGTTCAATGAAAGTGCAGTATACGGGTCACATGATACGGAAATCACTTGACCACTATACTGCACTGCCATTGGCTGAAGTTCTGGTGACGTCTTACGGACTATACGGACTTTATGTAATAATTTCATCAATCATATCTGTTAAAAATGCAAAATAAAAATTAATTATAACAGAAAACCTGAGATTCGCAGGTTTCTGCTGGATATCGTCGTTTTCAGATTGGTTTCGCATTTGTTGAATATGGTTTGTTTTATACGTATACAACTTTTATACAAAATTGCATATATATGAACTTTCGTATAAATCTGACACAGTTTTATATCAATTTCTCTAGACAGAAACATCAGATAGATGTCTTATATGTATCGTTCAACGCCTGAGATTCTCAGGTTTCATCTTATACCCCCTTTCATTTTTCCTTTACAGTCCCTTTAAGGTTACATATACCGAATTAAATATTGAATGAAAACAAATATACTGTTTCTATCAGTAAAATTTAAAAAATCAATACTACTTTTTCAAAGATAGGATTCTGTAACTCTGATGGACAGTTTTTTTATTAATTTTCTTTTCAATATGAACTGCGCAAAAAGCTGAATAGTCTGGCCCTGTTTTTGATTTTGAATCCATAAGATACACAAACTAGCTCAAAATTATTTTTTCTAAAATGTTCCAAACTCTGAAAGGGTTCAAGGCTCTTTTTAATTTTAATTTTCTTAATTTCAGTAAAAAGTGTGTGAAATTAAAAAAAATTAAGAATTTTATAAGGATTAGATTCATCCTATTAATTGCAACCCTGGGGTTTGATTCTACGTTTGATTCTACGTTTGATTCTACGGTGGTAGATGATGTTATGAATATAATGAAGACGACTTTTTTATACAAGTTTAATTGTTAACAAGCTATTTTCGCTTTACAAGTATACAATTAATAAAAGAAAAGCTTTTTAAATTGAAATCCTCTCTTTTTTCAATGTTATTTTGTATCCATGCTGTTTAAAAAGCTTGATATAACTAAAAATTGAATCGAAAGTCGTCTTTTATATTGATATTATATTGATATAATCGCCTACCACCGTATAGTGTTGTATTTGATTATAACATAGATTTGAAGTGTACTATTATAATAAAACTAAGGTTTATTTCATTCGATGACCTTTTCATTACAATTGGACAGCAAACTATTTGTCATTTGTACTAAATCTTGCACAAAATGTACATTTATAAAACTTTTATGAAATAAGTTTCTTCATATTTTGTCTTTTTATAACTAATAAGTTCGATTAAAAAAGAGTTAATGATGATAAAAATAGTGCATACTTTTATTTTAACATACAAATTCAATACAGTTCATTATCATATACTTTAACAAATAATATTTGAACTATTTTATTGCTTTACTATATGACAATTGATAACTGCAGTTTGTTATAGTTGAACATATGTGAATTCATTGTACAAGGTTCCTGCAATACATGCAGTCAAGAAACAAGCTGCATTTCCAGATATAAATGCTCGAAACACTACCCGGGCAAAGTCTGCTTGTCTTTGGGGTGCCAAAGAGTTGAGTGTTGCAAGTTGAATCCCTATACTAGCTGGGTTGGCAAACCCACATAGAGCATAGGTTGCTATCACAGCAGATCTTGGAGATAGCTCTTCATTTTGGATCAGCAATCCAAGTTCTCTATATGCTATGAACTCATTAAGAACCACTTTTACCCCAATTAGTTTAGCAATCTTTTCACAATCATTCCATTCAACTCCCATTGAAAGGGATAATGGTATAAATAATTTCCCCAGTATTGAATCAAACGTTAAATTATGGATACCAACCTGATCACCAAAAAACTCAAACAAGCTGTTTATAAAGGACATAAATGCTATAAATGCAATCACAATAGCAGTGATGTTAACTACCAATAGGCCTGCTGAAGAGGCACCTTGTGTAGCTGCATCAAGCACATTTACTTCTGATGGTGGCTTAATCGAAATTTTATCAGATTTTGTTCTTGATGTTTCCTTTTCAGGATAGAACAATTTGGCAAATGCCAAAGCAGCTGGGGCTGACATCATTGATGCTGACAATAGATGAGCAGAAGAGACTCCAAGACTAATGTATGCAGCTAGCACTGTACCAGCTATTGTAGCAAATCCACCTGTCATTACAGCATGAATTTCTGATAGGGTTAATTGGCCCAGGTATGGTTTAATGATAAATGGTGTAGTGGCCTGTCCAAGAAAAATATTTGCTGATGCACTCAATGATTCACAAGCTGTTGTACCAATTGTAGTTTGAAGTAGCCAACCAATCTTTTGAACAAACCATTGAAGAATACCCCAGTAGTTCAGCATAGATGTCAAAAAACTATAAAGGAAATATATTTTTTATTATGTCTAGACCCTAACGATTGGGAGGGTGTGTTTTCCACTCCCCACCTGTAGTTTTTTCTAAATAACCCAAAAACGGCTTTTATTAGAATCACTTTTTCAATATTATAGTTGTGAAAAATTTTTACCAACATTTGTTTATGCAGGGTAGAGTGAAGGACAGTCAAACGGCGGGTCGGTGTTCAAAATATCAAAAATGTGTCATATGTTAATATTTGTCAAAAGTAAATTTTTTGAACATTTTTCCGACGTACTTTTTGAACTTTTTTAAAATCCTCCTTTCCACACTAAGTTAGAGGTCTAATTTTTTTAAAGATAAGGGGGAAACCATCTTTATTAGACAAAAAAACAAACAAATTGGGATAGGGTTAAGTTAAATGTAAAAAAATAGAATCAAAAAAAAAATTACTTCGCTTTTTACCTAAAAAAATAAACAGTGGAGAGAGCCTTGAAGACAACAATGTTTTTAACCGCAGTGCTGTTATTAATCTCTTCTGCAACTAATTTTGCTAGAGACCCATTTTCCAATTTTGTTGGCAGAAATGGTTTTTGATCAACAAGGTAACCAAATACAAAAGATGATCCTGAATCTGTGAACCCAAGAAATGTGTCCACTTTAGATCCAATACAGTTGATAAAATCTCTTCCAGAATCCCAACGCATTATCAGAATTCCAAATATTATTTGGAGGAAAATTCCCCAGATTACATGTCTCCAAACTATTTTCTTCCTATTTGCTGAGAATGCAAATCCAAATAGAATTATCAAGAGTATCCCCCCAGCTGACACAAGTCTGTATAAGCAGTTTTTTTTATAATTTTGAAAATCTTTAAAATATTTGCCATAAGGCAAAAGTTTGAATGAAAGATTTAAGTAAAATGTTTCGCTTGCCTGGTAATAGTGGCCGAGATCAGTTAATTATTTATACTTTAGGGCTGGGCATGTTAAATTTTTTACCTTTAATGCAATTTAAACCATAAGAACTATCTACATTTAATGTTATTTTGAAAAAAAAACCGTCTATTTCCAGTTTAATTAGTTTATCAATGGTTTGAAAATTATCAATTGTTTTCGGTTCTTTGACAGAATTTGCCGTCTATATTTAATAACTGCTGCTCGCCAAAAAAAAGGTTGCCCAGGAATATCTATAGTCAACTTGATTTATTATCCAAGAATGCCCACTAGCCATCTTTTTTTTTTCCTGTCAAGAAGGGACTGTAGGTTTAGTTTCAAGTGATCCTGCATTTGTAGAGTAGCATGCCAGATTCACATCGGTATTCTTAACAACTTTGTTTGGTCAATAATGACAGAGACATAGAGTAATAAAACGAAGAGGTGAAGCTTAGCTCAGATGTACCCAACCAACCTGTCTATTAATTGATTAATAGATTGGTGTACATCACGATATGTTTACGTGTCTAATGTCGTACACTTTTATATAGAGCGATCGTATTTCTAAGGAGTGGTTTAATGTAGATATTTGAATATTAGTATTGACAATTAGATAGACACTTAATATGGATTGTAAACACATGATTGTATACTGCAGTACATTCAAGTTCAGTTGTTTGTTTATTTCAATAAGGAATTAGATATAAGTCACAGAAAAAGGCTAAGTTTGAAGAAAAATGCAACACCATTGCTCTCAACTTTTTGTTTAAAAAAAATATCAAAGTGTGACACACGTTTCTACACCCATTTTTCAAGGGCTTTCAAAACTATAGTTTTCAGATCTGTAGCTTTAGTCATTACAAGTTATGGGCTATTTAAGATTTTTTTACATACTCTGTTTTTTTATCGCCCTGCACCCTACCTTAGGCATAAAAAAATTACCAAAAAATATCCTCTAAATTTCTATTTATGAAAAGTCAAAAAACTAGAGGGGGAGCCAAATGTCCCCCCCCCCCCCGCCTGTTTAGGGTTAGGAGCTCCAGGTCGTCATCGTTGTTTCATCTTTGTGGGTAACCCTGCATACACTATCATGTCTATGATATAGAGTTGAAGAGAAGAAACAATAAAAAATGTTTCAAATAAGAATGTTTTAAGTTAAATTCATGCCCTAGAAACTTAATATTTTTGACAGAACTTTTTGCTAATAAATTGAAAACCTACAAATTTGAAAATTGTCAAATGTTTGCAGTCAACATCCTCGAATTCTCTTTAAATAAAGAAAGAAAATCTAAAAATTGGTCAATTCCATTAAATCCCCCTTTAGAAATACGATCGCTCTATATACAAGTGTACAGCGTTAGATACGTAAACATATCGTGATGTACACCAATCCATTAATTAATTGATAGACAGGTCGGTTGTGTACATCTGAGCTAAGCTTCACCTCTTCGTTTTATTTCTCTATGGACAGAGATTTCAATTTGTATCTGTTTAATACTTCATTATTTTCGACTGTGGTTTCTCCACAAAAGTGATTTGAACTTATGCAGGTTCAATGTGAGAAAATTATCAGATTTAAACACCGTTTAATCTAGACTAATGACGCTGTCTTCCACATTATTGATCAAATAAAGGTTTAAATGGTATCGTTGTAAATCGAACATGTCCAACTTTAAATGAAGAGTCACTTGAAATTGTTAGATTCCCAAGCTCTTTAAAATGTGTTCAGTTGTTTTACAATTTTAGAGGAGAGAGGGATTTCCACTTATTTGAACCTCTATTCAACAATTTTAAAATTAACCAGCTCTGGCAGATTAAAGGTAAGAGGGGGTGGGAAAATAGAATTTATTCGAAGAAATTTAATTATCTTTTATCCCTTAATAATTTTTTCGAAGGAAGATAAAGTTTAAGCATTAAAATAAAAAATTTATAAATATTCATAAAAAAACGATGATGAATATTGCTAACATAAAGGGACTGTAAGCAAAATTTCAAGTGGCCCTCCATGCAAAGATTACAATTTTCCCAAATCACAAAACGTCTTTATCTGAACAATGATGAGATTAATAACTAGTTGTTTTTCTACAATAAAAAGTGTTTAAGTCCAATAATGTTTTCATGCAGTAGAAATGTGAAAGTCACTTTTGTAGAGAAAACATTTATATCTAATTTATACTTTATCAGACAAAGCTTTTAATGATACTGTTGTAAATCGGGCATTGCCATCTTTGCATGGATGGTCACTTGAAATTACGCTTACAGTCCCTTTAAAAGTTTAATTCATAACACACAAATAAAAACTTTCCTATATCTGTCATCTTGAGTATCGATAATTAGGAAGATAATACAGCCTAAGATAATAATACTGGAAACTGCACATCTCACTTCGTTGCTTTGTATCACTTTCTCCATACTTCCAGGAAATCTAATATCAAACGAAATATGATCCACAAGAGGAGATAGTACAAAAGAATAACACAGGCAAGTATAGACAAGTGTGCTTACAACTAAGAGAAACCCTAAACCTTCACACCAGCTGATATTAATGGAATTAATATTATGCCAATATATGGCATATCCTAGATAGACAGGGTAAACTAGAAGCACCAGACAATATATGATCAACAATTTGAAAAGCTTGTTAAATCTGTTTGTTGGCAGGCTATCCTCCTTTTCTTGAAGTTCTATTGGTATTATAATGCTCTTATGGTTAGTTGATAGTGTTTGATCCAACAAAACTTTTGCTTCAAACTCTGCTAAGGTAGTGGCCATTCTTGGTTCAAAGGTTATCTAAACAAACAAGGAATTTTAAAAGTTAGTAAATCGTTAAAGATAAATATAGCTTAATATCATGCGGCCTTTTCTGTTTTACATCGTTACCCTGTAGACCTGGTAGCATAGAGCCCTCATTAAACTTTGGGTTCCCTTTCAGCTATCCAGTTGATTTCATTTTGATTTGAGTTAATTTGGAAGAATTTGATGACAAATCGAAGATAAAAATAATCAATAAAGAACGGGAATAACTTTTTTGCACAAAAAAAAATTTGAAAGATTCCGTTTAGTGTCGGATAACCCCCTTTGTAAATATGTGCACAAAGCCTTTAACATGGAAAAACCTTATTTTGAATAATTTGGTTAATTAGAATTATTAAATTTGTATAAGCCTCAATAACCTAATGATAAATGCCAATTTAATAAACGATTTTTAGTTTTATAATACAAAATAATATATATTTGAGCCCCAAATTTAACTACTCTTACAAATATTCCTTTCAAATATTCTTTCATTAATAATAAACCATAGCATTTTCAATTGCATTAAAGGGACTGTACACGTAAGTAACTTTTATATTTTTCAACAAATAAAGCAAATTAAACCTTGCTATTAGACGTTGAACACAAATATATCTTCACGTTTTACAGGTCAAAAATGAAATTATAATCGTAAGTGTGAATTCTTGAAAGTACTGTCAGTGTAATTTAAAGTTTTATTAGAAAACTAGCTGGCTACTCCATATATTAGTCATAATTATAGTTACTCGCGCTTGGTATTAACCCTATCTCTGCTGGGGTACTTGAAAACCAGGATAAATAAATATTATTTATTATTGGATTTTTTTGTTGTAGAAAACCCATGGGTACATTGGTCATATAGGTTTAATAATTGGAATTTTTGAAAATCCAGTCTACGCCGGGTACTTCTTATTCTAAAATATGTGAACAATCTATTTAAGAAATTATAAATTTTTCACCTTGCTGATGTGGTGATTTGTTAGAAGGTTGTGTGTATTGAGAGAAGCATGAGAATAAAGTAAACCAGTATATACTGTTTCCTACTGTTCGATTCCTAATATAAATTTGTCCTAAATCTATACCTGGAGGAGGTAACTTAAAAATTTACTAAACCACAAAACTGAGTTTCGAAAACAACAAAAAGAAACAGTTAATTTATATAATCAAGCTATTCTGTCATATAAATACATTTTTATGTTAGCTATAGCTGGAAAAACTGCCAGACCAAATTGACTGAAATTTGTTACGGAAACCCATGGGTATCACGGGGGTAACATAGTCCACACAATTCGATTTATATAAATATTCTATTTTTTATTGACTGGCAACGCCGGGCACTTACAGCTAGTTTATGATAAATTTATTTAACGCATATTTTATTAGAATGGTTGCAAAGCCGATTCTTAGTTTTGCTTTATAAGTTTGCATACCAGGGTTTTCCAGCTGTAGTATATCGGTTAGAAAGCTACACTGTTATACACTAGGGAGGGTTGAATACTGTAAACGAAAAACAGATTTTTGGTTTCAAATAACTTGGCGTCGGTTAATTTTTGTATTGAAATAAAAAATAGGGATTGAGTGAGGGGGGGGGGACTTGGGAATTCCTTAATTTGGTAATGCTCTTTTTCCCCTTAAGTTGACGTACATAGAAAACCCCCCTGTGGTTTAATTAATCAAATATATAGTCAAGGTTCTACCAAGATATATACATATGTTATAGTTAATTAACGGTGACACTGACATTACATACAATTTGAAGAAAACATTGTAGAAATAGCTTTTTATACGTTGGTCGGCCAGTTTATCTCTAATGCTCTTTAAACCCAACTTAAAAGTTTGTATGCATATAGAAAAAGGAAACAAATAGTTAAAGCTTATCTCATAAACCCCCCCCCCCCCCCTCGATAGACACAACCAACCACCATATAGCAAAATTGATATGGTGGTCAATTTTACACGTATGAAACGTATACTCAAGTTGTACATGAGTAATAAAACAAATTGTTAAATGTTTAATTGCATGGTCTACATTCTTAAACTCTCTTTTTTAATCGTGGATTGTTTCCATTTTGTCATTCTGGAATCTGGATACGTTTCAAAGATCAAAGACGAATTTACTCAGTCTATTGATATTTTAAACTATAAATTCTGTCAAATTGTAAAATCTGAGTTTGAAATTTATCAATTAGATTTATACAATCAGTTTATAAGGCTGATGCTGGTTTAGAAAAATCTAAAACAGCGGTACGTTGCAATTTTGAGCTAGCATATTGTAACCATAGGCTTTTAGAATCGCCACAAAAAATTGGCCAATTTATGTGGTATAAACAGACAGAAAGACAGGCACAAAATTAATCTATATATAAACTTAGCTTGTCTGTGTGTCTGCTTGTTTGTATCCAATAAACGTCAAAACGACTGAACCGACCGGGCCCAAATTTTGTGTGGGACCTCACGTGACCCCATGGAAGGTTTATGAATGATCAAATTAAAAAAAAACTGTTTTTAAAAGTTTTTTATTTTGTAATATTTTGAAAATGCACAAAAATATTATTAAATCAGCAAACTTTTTTGTTTGTTTTTGTTTTATACTGTACAAAGAGAAGATGCTCAGAGATAAAGCCACAACTAAAGTTGAAATAGAAGATGGGCGAGAAGCGCCCTAAATGCCTAGTATAATAAAATCTTGAATGTTTTAACCTCCAATTTTTTAAGGATTATAAACAATCTCTTTTTTCATACTTTGACTATAGAAACTGATTTGCTTTGTTAGTTTTAACGCAGAATTAGAAGGCCCATATTTGAGTACTTTAAATGTTTTTTTTTTTATATAAATAATGCCTTTTACTCAATTTATTCTTGAAATATTTAAGGTGGGAAAAAACACGTATTTTAAAATTCTTTTTTTAAACAAAAAATGCGCAAAAATAATTATTACTCGAAGTAAAAGACCTGTGACCAAGCAATATAAATCGCGCTATGAAATGCAGAATTCCAGTGACTTAAAGTATAGGTCTAAATAGATATAAAAATTTGAACCAATATATATATACTTTGTCCTAAAAACACAAAGGAGAAGGGGTACCAGGGACTTTCCGGGAGGCCGGGTTAAATGTAGTACCAAACAGCAAACATTTGTTATTATATGGTAAGACGGAACGGGTCGACTCTTGCTCCAAGGTTATTTATTAAATTTCTCTGATTTGTTATTTATAAAATTTCTTTGGTTTGCTATTTATTAAATTTCTCTGCTTTGTTATTTATTAAATTTCTCTGGTTTGTTATTTATTAAATTTCTCTGGTTTGCTATTTATTAAATTTCTCTGCTTTGTTATTTCTGTCTTATTTCCTCAGATTTTTGCAGCTAGCATTTTTTTGCTGCTAATTAGAATTACATATGCTTATATAACTTATTTTTTTAACGTGAACGGCTCTTGCACTTTTTGCGCAATGTTGCATGTTTTTTTGCACAATTTATTTTTCAATGGATTGTGCAGAAGACTGCAGAGTAAACTCAAAGCTCGCAACTCAACAGAAAACCTTGAATTTGTATGTAAGTGGTTTTTGACAGTAATAATACAACATACTGACACTAGCTGTAAAAGAAATACCTTTGTTGTCCTCGAAAATGAAATAAAACAGTATACTAATAGTTAAAATAAAATTGACCAGATAGAATATGTCAGGGTGAATTTATGCAAGTTTTTTTTCTGAATTCGTAATCATAACGCTAGGAAATTTTCATTGGGGCATGAAAATTTCCTCCTTTAATCAAAAATTCACTTTTGGTACTGGGAACCCATAAAACGGTCGAATAAGAAGACGACATTTCAGAAATCTTATATATTTTTATGTTGTTATAAAGCATATAAAGGAATTGAGTCTTTGCCTCAAACTCAAATGCTCTATTCCTTTTATCTTTGCAACCTATTCGTGTAAACTTGTGAAATTTCAAACTTTAATTATTTAATATAACATAATTTACAGTTTTAAATATCTAAGGCCTACGACATTGGGTTGTAAAGATTTAAGGATTGGAAAATCAGAGTTTGTGGCAAAGACTTAATTCCTTTGCCGTGTAGCTGGAAAATCAACCATTAAAGGGAGTGTTCGCGAAAAATGAAAGGGGTATAGGCTTAATGCGAATAAAATACGTTTTTGATCGCTACTAATCTTACTTCTATCTGTTGCGTCTATAAGGATTATCGATTATCTTTATGTAGCAGGATAGTTTACACTGATAAATAAATGCAAGAAAATATCTTTGCTTCCTTTCTACAGTGAATCTCAGATACATGTACAAGCGTTTTGTATAATGTATAATTCTAAGGAAATTTCTTTTTATTTTTAATTCAAGGTAAATGAATAGCTCTGAAATATGAATGTAATTGATATATTAAACTCATTTTTCTGCGGCATTGATCTTAAATATGTAGTACGGCATTATGAAACTCTTGCTATGTATTCAGATATCTGGGATTCAATGTATTTAATCTGTTATAGTGTATGTGGGTTGAAAAATACAATTTAATTAGATTAATTGTTAGAAATTTGATACTTGTTTTCTTATTTCTTCTTTTCATACAATTTTCTTAAATGGAAATACATACAGAGTGTGTCTCTAAAAAACGTTCTTTAGAGTGTTGGAGTACTCACCAATGCTCAGTTTTAAAAATTTCGGAATTTTTTGGACCATTGTGATAAGTAAAATAAAAAATTATCATTAAATTCACATACTAAGGGTTCACAATTATACAAAATGAATAAGAGTATTGATATAATGTTAATTTAATTGACTTAAAGAAGGTTGTCTTGAATTTTGCATTAAAATTCCATAAAATGGCCTACAGAGTTCAGACTTACAATTTGTGTAGCCCTTTCTTTGTGGCACTTAAAAGCAAGTCACTTTTTTACCTGCATTTTTAACTAAAGTCATACCATTCTTAAAGAATAATTCTGCGCAATTTTAGATTTGTTTAGGAGATTTGCATTTTTTTTCAGACCCTAATGCAATTCATATAATACTGCAATAATTCAAATTTGCAAACTCAACAAAGCAAAAATGTAAAATTTCAAACTGTTCTTTTTTCATTAATTTGTGTGCTACCTCTAATTGATATCAATCGATCAGAAGTGTTCCAGAGATTTAAAAATGTCTAATATTTTAATGATTAAAGAACGATGGTTAGTGTTCCAGCAACATGTAGAAGAGTGTTTTTTTCGAGACACCCTGCACATCTTTGGATTTATGATATAGTGGCAATGTAAAAATTATCGTTCATACTAATAATTCTATTTCAATCATAGATATTATAATTGGACAGACTATTTACAACTTGGTAATGATATTTATAATATAAATGTAAACACAGGGTTTCTCAAAAAGATTTGTTTATTCAGAAAATTGTAAAATTAAAAGTTTTCCAAATAAAATTTAGAAAATCAGGCTTCCTAGTCCTAACATTTATTCAATTATTGATAACATTTTATGATAACACTTCCCTCCATTTTACCATTTCTACAATTCATTCAAACGCCAGAGTAAAAAAACATGTAAACAAAGAAAAGTTTACTTGTAAACTTCTAATTCGAAGAATAATTGTTAAGGATTAAAGCATTATAAATAAAAAGTCGTCTTCATTGTATTGATATAATCGCCGACTTCCTGTAACCGAACCTACCAGCCCTGGGATTGCAGAGAAGAATGGGGAAGAATGAAGAAAAGAGGAAGCAACGTTTTTGTGTTAATGCATTCTTTAGTGCACATTGCGCCCTCTATAGACACGCAAATACAGTGTGTCCCACGAAACATGACAGTTGGTGAATAGTTTAAAATGTCTTTTTCCATAGTTTGTTAAGTTGTTTGATACCAAGGAGAGTAATATTCATGGCAGTCATATTATAGTAAAATGGATTTCAAAATAAAATATATTTGAGTAAAAGGATTTTTTAAACAAAAAGTCTTAAACATCTAATACAGTATACGGAAGAAGACATTCAAAACTATTTACCAGCTGTCATGTTTCGTGGGACACCCTGTATGTTTTAATACAAAAACTTAATGTTCCATATTATACTAATTTACTTCCTCCTGAATACACTTTAATTTAATTTATGTTCAACAGAACAAAAATACTGTTGGAGTTGAAGGGACTGTATGGCTAATTTCAAGTGACCCTCCATGCAAAGATGGCAATGCCCGATTCACAATGGTATCCGTAGTCATACTTATTTATGAATTAGATATGTAATTAATTGTAATCATCAGAATATAAAAATGCAGATGTTACAACCTATTTGTGTCGAATTAAAGTCGATGCATCGCGCGGTATATAGTACATATTTCAAAACATCTTTTTTTCACTTTAAAAGACAAGGAGTCAGACATATAATGGAGAAGGGATCGACCCAGCCCGCCCTACCATATGATTATACATCCATTTGAATAAGAAATACTTGTCTGAGCCCATAACTTAAGACAGGGTATCGTTTTAAAAAACCATTTGTTAAACCCGGGTTTCATAAATGGGTTAGGTATTCGGTAGTTTCGTTCAAAGATACTGTTTTAAATTTTGGGCTCAGAGCCCGAAATTTAAAAGAGTATCTTTGGACAAAACTGCCGAATTTCCTTTTTGGGGTCTTAACATTTGTGTAGATTTTGATTTAAGAGATTCGAAAAAAATTGAGAATATAAACAAACTGAAAAAAGTAATATTTCATAACAAAAATATTGATATTGACAAAACTGCCTAAACCCATTTGTGAAACCCAGGCTTTAAAACTGGTTTTCAGAACAATACCCTGTCTTAAGTTTTGGGCTCAAATACCGGGAATATGTACTCAGATAAGGTTTTTGTATACATTAAAAGTGAAAAAAAAGAAGGCTGAATCACATCAAAAAACAAATTTTTTGGGATGCAAAATATTGGCAATGCTAAAGTATTTGTTTTAAATATAAAATATCAGTTTTATTAAATATGGTATAGTAAAAAACAAAATTTAAGAAATTGAAGACGACTTTTAAAATGGAGTACTGTCTGCAAAGAGTTTTCTGGTTCGTACTGTAATTGTGCAGCACATTTACACGGTACAGAAATTGTGTCTTGGGACGCCATGCCCTTGTGAAAACATTCCAACTGCAAGCAAATGTTTTAAATCTCGTTGTACACAAGCGTTTGTTGATCTTTCGAGTAGGAATTCTTTTTAGATGAACACAATAGCATGACATCCCATAACACCAACCTTCAGGGTTATCCACTAAGAATGAGTCTGTAAAGACGACCTAAAACTCTTTGGATATGATTATCTCAAAATTAATTGGAAAAGTTTGTCCTAAATATTGTCTGTTAATGGCATAATTAATAATTTTGCAAAGAAAGAAACTATTTAAAGTTGCAGGAAATCCTTTTTAATTTGTTTGATAAATCACCCTGAAACTTCATGACTTTCATGACAGTGACTATGGATAGGTTTAGACCTCCTATAACAACTATCAAGATTAATATTCGTCAACTAATCAACTATAATTAGAAGCGAGCAAATTTTTATTTTATTTTTGCAAATTAGAATATACACTGGGTTACACACAAATGATGAGACCTCAGAGACGACTTTACAGAAGTTGTACTGTCCGTTTCCTTCTATTTAGGATTTAATGCAATCATAAACTTTTTTTGTTGCCGCAATACTACTTAATTTAACCTTAGAATCGTAATATTTTAAATGTTATAACTCTCAATCTTTGTTGGTAACCCTGTATGTCTTTTTTTTTCTAACTAATTGCTTAGGCGTAGATTGTGATTTATTTTCAAATAATAATGTGTAATCTTTATACAGTATGTAAACAGCGCAGTGGCAATAAATAAATAAATTAATACATAATTGGCATTCTTGGTTTCTTCTTAGTTGAAAGCCACTACTGTGCAATCAGACGGTTCCTAGCAGGCCCTCTGTGAGGAACTGGTACAGGAATCAAACTGCGTCCTCTAGATGCTCTGGGCTGCTGGGCTGGCTGTCTAGCTGCAGGCCTCCTCTGTGCTGGAGCTGGTCTGGCTGCAGACTGCCTTTGGTTAGGACGGAGTGCCTTGCCTGCTCTAGTATTCTGATTACGATTTCCTCCTCTAGAGAACCCTCCCCTGTTTCTTGCGGCTCTATCAGCCTCATATCCAGCAGCAGGGGCTTCGGTAGCGGCATATGCATCAAGAGGGATATTGACGTCAGCAGGGGCCCCATAAGCATCTGCAGCTGGGGCATCATAATCATACTCATCAGCAGGGGCACCATAAGAATCATCAGCAGGAGCACCATAGGCATCTGCAGCTGGGGTTTCATAATCATACTCATCACCAGCAGGGGCACCATAAGCATCAGCAGCAGGTGCAGTATATTCAGATGTCTCATAGTCATCAGCTGCTGGGGCGCCATAAGCATCATCAGCAGGTGCGCCATAGGCATCATTAGCAGGTGCAGCTGGGGCATCATAATCATACTCATCAGCAGGGGCCCCATAAGAGTCATCAGCAGGAGCACCATAGGCATCTGCAGCTGGGGTTTCATAATCATACTCATCACCAGCAGGTGCTCCATAAGCATCATCAGCAGGGGCTCCATAAGCATCAGCAGCTGGTGCAGTATAGTCATCATAAGAAGTCTCGTCAGCGGGCGCGCCGTAGGCATCAACAGGTGCAGTATTGTCATCATAAGCAGGAGAGCCATATGAATCATCAGCAGGAGCACCATATGCATCATCAGCAGGAGCAGCATAGCTTGCTGCTGCTCCTCCTTCTTGACGGCCTCGTCTTCCTTGCTGACGTCCTCTGCGACCAGCTGGAGCACTTGCTACTGGCCTCTGTTGAAATCTACCTCTACCAGCACGGGAAGCTCCTGCTCCATGGTTGTGATTGTGAACACCGTCAGCAGCAACCATGGCCAGGAGACCTAGAATATTTATAAATCAATTAAATAAATTATTTCTTAAACCCAAAAAGGCTACAGTGGATTACTTTATGCCTCCTATTTAATAAATGATTTTAATTTACAAAACATTGCGCATAAACTTTTGTACTGGGGAGAAAGTGATTACAGTTTTTGTTTGGTAAATTCAAATAATCAAAATAAATGCAAAAATTTAGTATTTATATGATGTTACTTAAAATAAAAAATATGCTAGACTCACAAATTAGATTTGTCACATTAATTGCAACTTTTTACTGAAGTTTTTAGAGGTTTTAAGGTTTTTTTTCTTAAATGTTTTTTAGAGTGGTTTATACACGTTTATTCGTAAGCATTTTATTACAATTATCGTCGCATATATCAATACAATAAAACGACTTTATTTAAATTTTTTGATTTTGATCTCGTTTTTATAACAGCATGGATAACCACAACCATGGACACAAAGAGAAGCTGTCAATTAAAAAAAACCTTCTCTTTAATTACTTGTAAAGTTGTAATTCAAAAACAGCTTGTTGACAATCAAAACATAATTTTAAAAAAGTCGGCTTCATTGAAATGGTAAAATCGCCAAACACTTAATCAAGATCTTTACATTATTTTAAAGCCTTTAGTAAATAAAACACCAAATATTATTAATTTTAAAAGTGTTTTTTTTCCATGATTTAAATTAGAATAAAACTTGATTTTGCAATAAGAACACAACAAAACAAATATTTAAACTGTGTTTAATGAATTTAACTAAAATTGATTTACAATTAATATTCCTAAATACCCTTATCCAAAAGTTATAGACCCTGGGCTAAAAGAATGAATCTCATTTATTTTTTTACCAATCAATTCAGATGATTTAAATGTTTACTAAAAAAAGTACAAATCACCCCTTCCGTAGGTCCGCTGGCTCATCCATAATTGTCTGTTCCCGTCGGCAAAACTATACAGTTATAATAGCTGTGCCCCCCCCCCCCCCCCATCCCCTACTCGGTCAAGGTCGTAAAGTGTATCTTACTATCTATCTATCTGCTCACCTAGGATTATTATAAAGGTGCGCATATTGCGAGCTAGTATCTACTACAATGAGCATCTCCTCTACGCGCTTTTATATATGTGCTCAAAACCTAAGTCGGGCCCTGGAACATCTCAACTCTGCGTAGTACTTAACAATATTTCTTCAAATAATTAAGGTCCGAAAATTATTATCATTTTTTCACATTTGATTTAAAACTAGAACTAGAAGATTAAATTTATTACTGGTGTGATCTCGTAGCTTTTATAATTTTATTTATACGGAAAATAATGCGAAAAATAAATTTATCCGGTAACACAACGTATGTTTTTTTCTTCGTAATTTAGCTATTTAATAAGAGTAAACAAATTCCAATCTTACGTGCAATTTACTTAAGTTTGATGTTGGTACTTAGCACAGTCACAACACAAAAATTGTTCAATTTTTTTAAGTTTAAAATTTTGTGTTTGCATTTTTAGAAAAGCATATCTGAACTTTTCATTTTAAGTTTATTTCGTAAACAATGAAGATACAAAAGAAACAAGCAAAGCTAAAGGTATTACGACGTATACATATTTAATGAATGAAAAAATTTTAAGCATTTACAAGTTATCATTTGTAACTGTCGATCATTATGTAAAAATCAAATTTATTTACGTTAACGGTGAAAAATAATTTCGTTAACGGTTTATGAAATCGTTAACGACACAGCCATAAACAGTCTATTGCAGTATTAACTTGAACACAGAAGACGACATTTGGAAAAATCAAAACACATAAACTTTTAAAAACTTTTTCTAAAAAGTTTCATGCAATTTTAATCAAAAAAAATTAACTGTTTAAAAAAATCCCTTTCGTTTTTGTTTTTAACTGTTAATTTTTTTCTTCAAAAACGGTTAATCTGTTTCGCTAACGAATAAAAAGTTAACGGTTTTTGCCATTTCTTAACTAAATTTTCGTTAATTTTCGAAAACCTTAACGGAACTTTGCCCAGCCCTAATTATAAGTCAATATTTAAAATTCATGAAACACACTGGGATCTATGAAGAAGGAGAAGGTCTAATCTATATGTTATCTTATGTGCAATTTACTTATTTTGAAATGACAAAACACAAATACATATAATAGCAAATATACAAAATTAGAGCCCATTTACTTTTATGGAAGATACCTAATTTGATGTGGATGAGACAATATTAAGTTTATGTTATTCTTATTGTTGTTGTTGTTGTTGTTGTTGTTGTTGTTGTTGTTGTTGTTGTAGCCATTTATCCATAGTAGCGTATGGACATTGAAAATGGGTCTTGGGATATTTCATAGAAAGACATATTATAAATAGAATACTTTATAGATAGGACATTTTACATATAGGACGTTTCATAGATAGGATATTTCTTTTTACTTCATGCAAGCTCCTAAATATTTAGAACATAGTTGCTATCTAAAGCTGGCAGAACATAAAATGTACCTTAGACATTTCGAAAACCGCTCACAAAGTAAAATATTCGATATTTTAGAGAGATGTCTTGAAACGGTGCGGCTGTATTAAATTCACTATGAATTTAATAGCAACTCAGCCATTCTCTGTCCTCGATTAACAGTTAAAGGTTCGAGTACCGCGGTTGTGGATTTATGGTCACTTGAAATTACGCTTGCAGTCCAATGACTAGAGTAAAATATGACGTTTTTTATATAATATTATTTTAATATTTAAGTATTTATTTCTTTAAAACAGTAAAGTTTAACGTTCTAAATATTGCGCAAAATGATGCGAATAACAGAGGGCGTTATTTTTAAATATTCATCGTTTGTGAATTAAACATATCTTAAGATTTTTATATACTATTTTAATTTCATTTCATTCAGCCAGACTATCAATTGATTATCAATATACGTATTTTGCTTGTCTGTCGGTTTGTATCCAATTTGTATTCCAAATTTGTTGTGAGAAGGTTTAAAAATGGTCAAATTTGAAAATTTAGGTTGGACAAATTTGTCTGCTTTTATCATTTTTGAAAATTCATCAGTATAAAAGAAAAATCCGCAAAATTATTAGTTTTACGATTTACAAAGAAATGTCATATTAAAGAACAAAGGTTAAAATTGTTTCGAGAAAAGGGGTGCGAAGCGCCTTGAATATGATACTTACTTACTTAAAGTTTTATTTTAACTTCTTTTAACTACTTAAATTCCTGTTTTTGTGCCAAAACAAATATCTTTATCTGAACCTATACTATTGATTATATATTGAAAAGTGAATTTATGCAGTTCCAGTTTTTCTTCATTTGGAAATATACTAATTTATATATAT